TTTAGCTAGATATTGGGACATAGTGGTTATGGGACATAGTTTTAGCTAGATATTGGGACATAGTGGCTATGAGACATAGTTTTAGCTAGATATTTCAGTGGAAGTCTGTTTTTGCTTTCTAGATAAAAGGGACCACAGCCCTGCCCCAACCCCCTTCTTCCCACCTCACACTAAGCCATGAAGCCTGGAGCTGTAGCAGACCTCCTGTGTACATGAAGCAACAAGCACAGGACAAAAGCCAACTTGCCAACAAGAGTGAAGCAGAGAGGAGGGGTCTGGGTCCTGGATGGTGCTGCTGAGCAGCTGACTGGACTCTAAAGAAACACCTCAAGATGGAGGGAATGCAGAGAGAAAGTGATGGGGTGGGGGGAAAAGGATGAGACACAGGTTTCCAGTGTGGGCAAACGGGTAGATTACCGGTTCTCAACCTGTGGGTCATGACCCACAGGAACTATATTAAAGGACTGTGGCATTAGGAAGGTTGAGAACCACTGGGGTAGATGATCATGCCCTTCACTGAGAAAGGGACTAGGGGAAGAAAAGAAGCAAGTCTGGGATGAAGATGCCAAGATCAAGTCCAGACAGGCTGTTTGCTGTGAAACATCCAGGGCAAGAAGCCATCTAGGCCTCTGACCAACAGTCTGGCTGGAGATCTGAGGAATCCCTAGCATCCAGACAGAAGTGAGGTCACCTAGAAAGATGCACAAAGTGAAACAAAGTGAGCCTGGACAGCACTCTGAGGGACACCCTGTGGCCAGTTCTCCTTGGGGCTCAGCAGTGTCCTCCTCCATGTGTTTTGAATTGGGCCTGGTTTTGAATTGCTGTGGGGAAACTGATGAATATGTGTTTTCTTCTAAGTGGGGAGCCAATTAAAAGCTAATTGACCTTCCAGTGCCAAGTGAGTGGGTGGTTGCTGGGTGAGAGGGCCTGGTAGAGCTGTTAAGGTTAGCGTGGGGAAGAGCCTGAGACTGGCCTCCTAAGGAAATAGGACTTGGGCTAGCAGCAGAGGCTGGTTGCCTACCCAGTATTCTACCCTCTTCCTCCTGGTAATGGGCTTCTCATCCTCTCCATGCTGCAACTACCTGGACTAAGATTAGATTTCTCATCGCCCTTGCAGCTGAGAGTGACCAGCGAAATGTAAAGACATTGGGCGGAACTATTTGGAAAGTTGTATAAAAGTGCGGATGGGATATACCATGGCTGACCTTCCACTTTCCTTCTACTTCCTGCCTGGAGTAACATGTGATAAAGGGAGCTCCAGTAGCCATTTGGACCAGGAGGGAACCTCAGAGAAAGTAGAAGCCAATGCTTTGGACACCACATCTGACATCAGGGTGCCACAGACCAGGCCCAGACCACCTGTTTCCAGATCTATTTTATCTAAGAGAAAAAACTACTAATCTGCTTAAGCTCTTGCCTTTGTTTTTATCTGTAACAGTTTTATTATTTTTTGAGTGGGAAGAAGATCTGTTACTTAACACTAAATCATCTTTTTTTATTTTTGAGACAGAGTCTCACTATGTCACTCTCAGCAGACTTCACACTCTTGGGCTTAAGCAATTCTTTTGCCTCAGCCTCCCAAGTCCAAGTAGCTAGGACTACAGGCAACTGCCACAATGCCCGGCTATTTTTTTATTGCAGTTGTCATTGTTATTTAGCTGACCTGGGCAAGGTTCAAAGCCACCACCCTCTATGCATGTGGTTGGCACCATAACCACTGTGCTACAGGCGCAGAGCTTTTTTTTTTTTTTTTTAATTGAGACAGAGTTTTACTTTGTCACCCTCAGTAGAGTGCCATGGCGTCATAGCTTACAGCAACCTCAAACTCTTGGGCTCAAGCGATTCTCTTGCCTCAGCCTCCCTAGTAGCTGGGACTATAGGCTGCACAGACAGGGGGGCTTTGGAATCGGAATCCACCACAATGCCCAGCTAACTTAACAGCTAAATAATCTTAACAAATACGGTTTGAGCCATGATGGATGAACTGATCTTATCGAGAGCTTTTGATGTCACTCAATAGGCAAGTAACTTTACATGCTGGGTCTCAGAGAAACTCTACCCCTATTATACAGGTTGGGTTCTAGTATTAACCTTCTTTTTTTTTTTTAGAGACAGAGTCTCACTTTGTCACCCTCAGTAGAGTGCCATGGCATCACAGCTCACAGCAAACTCCAGCTCTTGAGCTTAAGTGATTCTCTTGCCTCAGCCTCCAAGAGTAGCTGGGACTACAGGCACATGCCACAATGCCCAGCTATTTTGTTGCAGTTGGGCCAGGGTCAGGTTTGAACCCACCACCCTCGGTATATGGAGCCAGTGCCCTACTCACTGAGCCACAGGTGCTGCCTGCCTTTTTTTTTTTTTTTTGAGACAGAGTCTCACTGTTACCCTGGGTAGGGCATTATAGCTCACAGCAACCTCAAACTCTTGGGCTCAAGCAATCCTCCTGCCTCAGCCTCCCAAGTAGCTAGGACCTGCTACAATGCCCAGCTAGTTTTCTATTTTTTGTAGAGACAAGGTGTCACTCTTGCTTTTAGCCCTATATTTTAATACAGTGAGGACACTAAGACAAAGACAAGGAAAACTGCCTGCCCAAAGTCATAGCTGCAACTGAAGCCAAGTCCATCAGATTCCAAAGCTCCCTGTCTGTGCAGCCCATGCAGGCATAGGAAGGAGCCTTCGCATGCAGGAGTGGCATGGCCTGGCACTAAGGCTCTGGAGAGGGGAGCAGAGAATACCACGCCACAGTGGAAGAGGGAGACAGAGTGGTCACGAAAGACCAGACCGGATCCTTTGGACAATGGGATCCTAGCAAGATTTGTGGGCAGGGTGGAGATAATATCCTAACTTGCAGAAACTATATATAGGGTTCCTGAGAGTCACCTGCCCACCCAAATCTGCTCAGTGTCCACAGCAGGATCATCTCGGGACTTTACACAAATGCAGGCTCCCAAGGCCAGCCCTCTTCTGACTGAGAGCAGGCATGGCAGACATCTGAGGGCTTTCCCACCCAAAAAGCTTCCCCCTTATCTGATAGGATCCCCCTGCTCCTGCTCTCCATTTCTGCAGCCTAGGAGGGATGGGGTCTACTCCTCTACGCTAGTGATTCCTGGGGCTGAGCACATGGCTGCAGTCTAGCTAGTCACAGTGATCAGCTCAGGACAGAGTCTATGACCAAACCTTGACCAATGCTAGAATATTAGGGACCATTCTCTTTTCAATGTGAAATGGAAATGATAATAATTGCAAGGTTGGTAAGGTCATCACAAGTAATAATAACTAATATCAGGCTCAGCACCCATAGCTCAGCAGCTAGGGCACCAGCGACATACACTGGGGCTGGTAGGTTCAAACCCGGCCTAGGCCTACTAAACAACAATGACAACTACAACAAAAAAATAGCCCAGCACTGTCGTGGGCACCTGTAGTACCAGCTACTTGAGAGGATGAGGCAAGAGAATCGCTTAAGCCCAAGGTTTTTGGGGGGTTTGTTTTGTTTTGTTTTTTGCAATAGCGTCTCAGTATGTTGCCCTCAGTAGAGTGCTGTGGCATCATAGCTCACAGCAACCTCAAACTCTTGGGTTTAAGCGATTCTCTTGCCTCAGCCTCCCAAGTAGCTGGGGCTACAGGTGCCCGCCATAACACCCAGCTATTTTTTATTTTTTGGGTTGTAGTGTCATTATTGTTTGACAGGTCTGGGCTGGGTTCAAACCTACCAGCTCCAGTGCATATGGCTGGTGCCCTAACTTCTGAGCTACAAGCGCCAAGCCAAGCCCAAAGGTTTGAGGCTGGAAGCTGTGTCGCCAGGGAACTCTACCTATAGTGATATAGTGAGACTCTATCTCAAAAAATAATAATAATAAAAAATAATAACAATAGTTAATATCAGCCCAGCGCAGTGGCTCACACCTGTAATCCTAGCACTCTGGGAGGCCAAAGCAGGTGGATCATCTGAGCTTAGGAGTTTGAGACCAGCCTGAGCAAGAGTAAGATATCATGGGCTGTGCCTGTGGCTCAATCAGTAGGGCCTCGGCCTCATGTAGTGAGGGTGGCAGGTTCGAACCCCAGCCAAACCAAAACAATAACAACAAAAATAGCTGGGCATTGTGGCAGGCACCTATAGTCCCAGTTGCTTGGGAGGCTGAGGCAAGTTTGAGGTTGCTGTGAGCTGTGATGCCACAGGACTCTACCAACGGCAATAAAATGAGACTCTGTCTCTTAAAAAAGAAAGAAAGAAAGAAAGACCTCATCTCTACTAAAAATAGAAAAACTAGCCAGCCATTGTGGCAGACACCTATAGTCCCAGCTACTCAGGAAGCCGAGGCAAGAAGATGGCTTGAGCCCAAGAGTTTGAGGTTACTGTAAGCTATGACTCCAGGACATTCTACCCAGGGCAATAGAGTGAGACTCTATCTCAAAAAAATTTTTTTAAAAAGCTAATATTTACTGACTGCCGGCTAAAGGCCAGTTTACTGTTCCCAAGGTCATCATATATGCCACTATCATCTTCATGGCAGCCTTAAGAGGTAAGTGCAGACAAGAAAACTGAAGCACTGAGAGGTTAAGTAACTTTCTCAGGGCCACAGAGCAGGAAATAAGCACAACTAGGACTTTGACCTTACAGACTTGCTTCAGCACCGCCTACAGCCTGAACCCTTTCTCTTTGCCACCTCTGCACAAGCCAGGAGCTGCTAGAGACCACTGCCACTTGCAAAGGAAGAAAGCCAAGGCAGAAGAGAATAGAAAAGATAAAGGAGAAAAAAGGTCTGATACCTTCTGATAACTACAGCCCCTGGATCTAACTATGTCTGAAAACAAGCTCCTGGATGTGCAGTTATTTGAGTCAGTAAATTCTTCCTTTATTGACATTGGTTTGACTGGATCTTTGTCCCTGGCACTAAGACTTCTGAAGATCGCAACACATTTGATGTGGGCCTAGGGTGTCTCTGGGGCACTACAGGAAGTACTGCAGGTCCACCCTGTTTCTCAGGACCATGAGCTCCTAAGAAGGGAGATGAGGCCTCCTCCCTGCCTTCTCCCAGCACAGGTAAGCCGCCAATGGGGTACACAGGAGATATCTGCAGTGATCAGGCCCATCCTTCTGCCCTTGGGCAGGACCCCTCCCACACTCATCCTCCGCAGCCCCAAGTGAACCCCAAGAATTCTCAGGATCCCCAGAGAAGGATATCTCCTCCTCGGGAGCTGTTCTTTGGCCCAATCACAGGTAGGGGACCTGAGGTAATCCTCAACATCCCTCCCCAAGCCTGTCCCCACACACCTGCCGCTGAGACTCATACAGGATGCGGTCCATGGTGTTGAGAAGCGTCATGCTCTTGTACAACTTCAGGACCTTCTCTTGGGGTAGCTACAGATGGAGGCATAGACAGATGTGGGGCAGTTGGGACCAGAGAGGAGACAGGCCAGAGGCCTGGGCACGAGGGGCACGGGAAAGGGGGGAGGCAGCCTCTCACATGGGGATCCTCGCTGGAGTTGATGATCTGACCCTGCCGGTCCATGACGCGGTAGATGGGGATTCCAGAGATGACATTGGGCTGGATGAATTCAAGCTTGTCTATAAACTCTGCTGAGGCCCCTGGGAACTGTGGCTTGTCATCCAGAGATGAGAACTGCTGCTGTTGCTGCCTGTGGGGATACTGGGGAGAGAGGGCAGAGGAGATAGCCATGTCAGGAATAGACTGAGGTTCCTGGTGGCTCAATCCTGGCAACAGGCAGGACAACATGGTGCTTAAGCCTCTGGGGCCTGATTCACAGGGTCTGAACACCAGCTCCACGTTTTCCCATTGTGACAACTTCGGCTAACTACTAAATTTCCTTTTTTTTTGCAGTTTTGGCTAGGGCCAGGCTTGAACCTGCCACGCCAAATATATGGAATATATGGGGACAGTGCTGTACTTCTTGAGCCACAAGCACCACCCCTTTTTTCCTGACAGAGTCTCACTATGTCGCCCTTGGTAGAGTGCCGGAGCAACCTCAAACTCTAGGGTTAAGCGATTCTCTTGCCTCAGCCTCCCAAGTAGCCAGGACTATAGGCGCCCACCATAATGCCCCGCTATCTTTTGTTGCAGTTGTCATTGTTGTTTAGCTGGCCCAGGTCGGGTTCAAACCTGCCACCATCAGTGTATGTGGCTGTACTTGGCTGGCGCTGTAACCACTGTGCTACAGGTACCGAGCCCCAACTATTTTTTAGTTGTTGTCATTGTTTTAGTTGGCCCAGGCCGGGTTCAAACCCACCATTCTCGGTATATGTGGTCGGCGCCCTACCCACTGAGCTACAGGCATAGCCCTAATTACTAAATTTCTGTATTTCAGTTTTCTCATCTGAAAAATTGGGATGAAAACAATAACAACTATTCCCAGGCTGTTGTAAGACGAAATGATTCAAGAAAGTGGCAGGCAGCTGGAGAACTATTATTATTATTATTACATTAGCCCAAACTCTCCATCCTGACATTCAAGGCCCTTTTATCTATCTTTCTCTCTCTCTCTCTCCACCCCCTCCATCCCGGGCACACCCTCTCCCACCGCCCAGTGGCCTCTAGGCAGCCAGGTGGGCCCTTGCCAAGCCCTATACTACATACCAGGGAGGTTACCCAGAATAAAGCTAAGTCTTTAAGCTCTCAAAAGTCAGAATGCCTGAGTTCAAATTCCTTACTGGGGCACATGGCAAAGTGACTTCCCTTCTTCATGTGTTCTTTTTTTTTTTTTATCCAGGGCTGGGTTTGAACCCGCCACCTCCAGCATATGGGACCAGCACTCTACTCCTTTGAGCCACAGGCGCCTCCCCAGTATGTTCTCTTCCTGGTCTATAAAACAGAGCGTATCTCATGGAAATATTGTAAAGTTATAAATATATTAAGTTAGCAAGAGCATGCATATAAAATGTTCAGCAGAGTTGGCCATGATCATCTCTACCACCCATCTCTGGCCTCACCCCGTGAGGTTAGGTAGCCTTGACCTAACCTGAGTAGAAAGTCTCCCCCCACCCCCCACCCGCCTGGCGCTCAATGCCTGTAGCTCAAGCAGCTAAGGCACTAGCCACATACACCTAAGTTGGCAGGTTCAAATCCAGCCCAGACCCGCCAAACAACAATGACGGCTGCAACCAAAAACCAGCCAGGCGTTAAGGTAGGCACCTATAATCCCAGCTACTTGGGAGGCAAAGGCAGAAGAATCGCTTGAGCCTAGGAGTTGGAGGTTGCTGTGAGCTGTGATGCCACAGTACTTTACCCAGGGTGACAGCTTAAGGCTCTGTCTCAACAAAAAAAAAAAAAAAGAAAGCCTCTTCCCCCAACACCTGGCAAACTGCTGCACACCCTTCAGTGCTTTCTCTAGCCCTGTCCCAGCTCCCCCTGCAAGCCTAGACTAACTCACTCAACAAATATTTGAGCACCTGCCTTGTTCCAAGCCCTGCGCTGGGTTCTGAGAACCTAAGACCTCTGTCCTTGCTGCCTGGCAGGGAACACTGATGCTGAACAAGAAACAATGAAAGTGATTCATGTCATCCTGTAATAGCGGGGAAAGGGGGAAAGGCTTTTTTGGGGAAGTGATATTAGAATTGAGACGTGAGGGATCAGCAGAGTTGGGGAAACAGCATTCTAGGCAAGGGTAACAGAACATGCAACAGAGAGGGAGTGAGGAATGGGACAAGGAGTTCAGAGTGCTGGAGGAATCCTATGAGACGAGGACACTGCCTCAATGGCTAGAAAAGCCCAGGAGACCTGAGAGAAGCCTAAATGCTCAACAGGATGTGGGGCATTTAGAATTGGGTCAGACTAGCTCAAGCATTGTACCAGCAGAGTTGGCTATGATCATCTCCACCACCCATCTCTGTCCTCACCCCGTGAGGTTAGGGTAGCCAGCGCCCCTTTACAAAGCACTCACTGTGCACCTGGCTGAGTTCTGCACGCACAGCCTCACTGACTATTGCTACTGTCCTTGAGCAGAGGAGGAAGCCAGGGCTTGGGGAGGTGGTAAAATAACCTGCACCAGGCTACACCCACACCCACGTACAAATTATGTCAGAACTGGCCTTCAAACCTGGACAGGGCTGAGATTCAGACCCCAAAACCCATGCTCCCTACCCCAACTGCCATTGCTTGCCTGGTTTTCACACATTTGTGTCTTTTCTTCCCAACACACCCTGGATTTTTCTTAGATAAGTAACTGTGGTTTTACTTCCAACAGAAGCTAAAGAAGGGTAAGGTTTGCCACCAGTTAGATTTCATATGTGGGTGCTGAAGTGAGTCCCCTCTCCCTTCCTTCAACTGTAGTGAACAAGCTGCCCAAGGTTCCAATGTGGTGGCCTGTCATGTGTGTGCATTTATCTGTGTTTGTGGGTGTAAGGAAATCAGGTTTAGGGCTGACAACATCTCCCCTTGCAAAAAAGAAGCTGCTGTGCTTCTCCCTTCTGAACACTCAGCACAGCTGGATCCTTACATCCATCTAGAACATTCCTTCATCTTGTGTCTGTCTCCCACTTCCCCCTGAAGTTCTAGGAGGGTAGGGAAAGCATCCAGGTCAGCTCACATAGTGAACGCACATATGAATGAGTGGTTAAATTCACTGGCTCTAGAGTCAAACTGACCTGGGTTCCAGTATCTTAGTTCCCTGTGTGGCTCTCTACAAAACACTTTGTCTCTCTGAATTTCCTCATCTATAAAAGGCTGCAGAAAGCTGTGTGAAAAGTTCCTAAGACAATGCACACAGACCTGGGACATATTTTATGCTCAAAAATTGGTAGAAGGGGCCAGGCATGGTGGCTCGCATCTGCAGTTCAAGAAATTTGAGAGGCTAAGACAGGAGAAATACTTGGGGCCAGGAGTTGAAGAGCAGCCTAGGCAAAAGTGAGACCTTATCTGTATAAAAAATAGAACAATTAGCCATGTATCACAGTGTATGCCTGTAATACCAGCTACTCGGAAAGCTGAGGCCAGAGAATTGGTTGAGCCCAAGGAGTTCGAGGTTGCAGAGAGTTGTGAAAACATCACTGCACTCTAGCTAGGGCAACAGAGCAAGACTCTATCTCAAAAAATAATAATAATAATTGGTAGACGGGAGGAAAACTCTAGGAAGGTTAGGAAGTGGGTAAAAGGTATATGACTGGTCCTTTGGAAGAAAGTGGGAAAAAGAATAGGAGAGAGTTGACTGCACCTTAAACTGGATTCTAAAACTAAACCTCAGCCCCAGGAGACACTCCAGAGAGGGAAACGAAGCCAGGGGAGATGATGTGGCAATACACCAACTGAGCAGGACTGAAGGCTGAAGCAGCAGCACAGCACTGAGAGAAGGCGTCGGGAGCCAGTGTGGGCAGCACGGGTCAGCAGAGGGCTATCTGCCTCTGAAGGCAGGAACTAACAGCAGGCACCCAGGTGGGCTCCCTATATGGGAACTGGGCCTGACCAGTGCCTTCCTCCCTTTCCTGGGTCTGCGGAGATGACTGCAGTCCCTACACCCAGGGTTACTGCAATGACTGAATAAGCACAGGGCTCAGCCTGGTCCTGAGGAAATGCTCCATTCTGGGAGAAAGGGGTCAAATGCCGGCAGAGGAAGGATATGACCCCACCCATTTTTTTTGGTTTTTGGTAGGGAGTAGGGATTGTTCTGGTGGTCTGTGATTTATAATGGCAGAGATAGCACAGATCACACAAAGTCTTCCAGCCACATCCTCTCCCACCACATAGGAAAGCACCATCTGCCTGCTCTGGATGGTCTAATCTGCCCACCAGGTCCCAGGGTGGCCCCTGTGGGGCCAATCCCTAAGGCACTGTGGTTGAAGGCAACGACTCCAAGCAGACACCACCTCCGGACTGTGTAGCTCAAACTCCCTACTGTGTTCACAAAGAGTGATATGAGTACTTATCTCACGACCAAACTGAGCTGATGTGTACAGATCACTTAACCCACTGCCTGGCATATAATGAACGCTTCATAAATACAAACTGAGAAGTCTGAAGACAAACGCTGAACACACACCTTACAACCAAGAGGGTGATCTCAGCAGATGGTATAGTGGTTAACCACAGGGCAGGCAGGATGAGGAGCTCTAGAACTAAACTGCTGGCGTTCCAATCCTGGTTCTGTCCTTTTCCAGCCATGCAGTGTTGGATAGGAGCCAGTCTCCCTGAACTGTGTTCCCTCATGGACATAATATCTGCCTCACGGGACTGTGGGGAGGCGGGTAAAGCAGCTCCAGTGGCTCTCGAAGGAACATTTCCCTAGCTAGGATCAGATGGAACCTCTGGAAAAGAGTCCTGGAGAAGGAGGGGTTGAGCCAAGGCCTGCTGGACAGGCCAGGGTGAGAAGGAAAAGGCTTCTGGTTAGAACATTTCAGTCCCAGGGAGCAACAAAGGCTCTGAGGCAAGAGAACAGAGGCTAGCATCCTGGAACCCTGAAGACCAGCACAGCCAGGCAGTAAACAACAAGAATAACCACAAGCCTAGGTGCTGCTCAAAGCTCTTTATGCCTGTGCTCATTGAACCTGTACAGCATCCAGGTAAGGCAGACATGACATCACACATCCATCAGAGACAGGTGGTATCTGAGGTGCAGAGAAGTTAAGCGACTTGTCCAAAGCTACAGAGATCCTGAACAGCCATGCCAGTGTGTACAGCCTAACAGCCTGAATAGCACTGCC